GTTAAAGGCTCTGTTTCCTAAACACCATGGTCGTTAATGGGTCTGTTTCCTTAACACCATGGGCGTTAAAGGGTCTGTTTCCTAAACACCATGGGCGTTAAAGGGTCTGTTTCCTAAACACCATGGTCGTTAAAGGGTCTGTTTCCTAAACACCATGGTTGTTAAAAGGTGTGTATCCTAAACACCATGGTCGTTAAAAGGTCTGTTTCCTAAACACCATGGTCGTTAAAGGGTCTGTTTCCTAAACATCATGGTCGTTAAAGGGTCTGTTTCCTAAACACCATGGTCGTTAAAGGGTCTGTTTCCTAAACACCATGGTTGTTAAAGGGTGTGTTTCCTAAACACCATGGTCGTTAAAGGCTCTGTTTCCTAAACACCATGGTCGTTAATGGGTCTGTTTCCTTAACACCATGGGCGTTAAAGGGTCTGTTTCCTAAACACCATGGTCGTTAAAGGGTCTGTGTACTAAACACCATGGTCGTTAAAAGGTCTGTTTCCTAAACATCATGGTCTTTAAAGAGTCTGTTTCCTAAACACCATGGTCGTTAAAGGGGCTGTTTCCTAAACACTATGGTCGTTAAAGGGCCTGTTTCCTAAACTCCATGTATTTTGAGAGTCGTTAAAGAGTCTGATTCCTAAACATCATGGTCGTTAAAGGGTCTCTTTCCTAAACTCCATGTATTTTAAGAGTCGGTTTCCTAAACACCATGGCTGTTAAAGGGCCTGTTTCCTAAACACCATGTTCATTAAAGAGCCTGTTTACTAAACTCCATGGTCGTTAAAGAGTCTGTTTCCTAAACACCATGGTCGTTAAAGGGTCTGTTTCTTAAACACCATGGTCGTTAAAGAGTCTGTTTCCTAAACTCCATGGTCATTAAAGAGTCTGTTTCCTAAACACCATGGTCGTTAAAGAGCCTGTTTCCTAAACACCATGGTCGTTAAAGAGCCTGTTTCCTAAACTCCACAGTCGTTAAAGACCCTGTTTCCTAAACACCACGGTCGTTAAAGAGCCTGTTTACTAAACTCCATATGTAATTTAAGAGTCGTTAAAGGGTCTGATTATGTAACTTTAAGTAATTTCAATTGACCCTTGATTTAAAGCGTTACATATTCGATTCACGATAGTACCCTTTTCACCTTAATTTATCGAACTTGCGTTGAAGACTATGTATATTTGTGTTATCTGTATTAAAAAGATTTAAATTTTCTTATTTTCTTTTCTTTTTCTGCCATGCGTTCGCAAAAAGAATATTGAAATCTCATAGAGAAATAATCCATCAGGTTTGAAGGGTCCATTGTAAATTGAAGATGCCCATTTAATAAATAGGGGTTATCTGAAATACATATACAGTCCCTTAAATTATCATACAGG